TTCCTTCTTTCCTTCCTTCCTTGCTTTTTCTTTTTCTTTTTTGTCGGTCATGGGGCTTGAACTCTGGGCCTGGGCACTGTCCTTCAGCTCAAGGCGAGTGCTCTACCACTTGAGCTACAGCGCCACTTCCTTGCTTTTTCTTTTGTGTCAGTACCGGGGCTTGAACTCAGGGTCTCATGTTCTTGCTTGGCTTTTTTACTCAAGGCTGGGGATCAACTAGGAGTTATGCCTTCACTTCTGGCTTTTTGCTAGCTGATTGAGATCAGAGTCTCACAGATTTGTCTGCCTGAACTGGTTTTGAACTTTGATCCTTAGGTATCGCCTCCTGAGTAAGGAGGATTACAGAGATGATGAGCCACTAGTACCCAGTTCAGTAATTTCAAAGTAAATTTACATTTCCTGAAATTATCTATATATCCATATGTCTCTATAGAGATCTATGTGTCTCTATATGTCTCCATCGTCAGCAAGTTATGAGCAATTGTAAGCTTCCAGTGTAACACTGAAGTGCCTCTTCGATGATGCCTATAAAACATTCACACATCCTTGAGGCTAGCTTTTGTTTGACCTAAATTAAATCAATATGAAGATAGATAATCACTGAAGCCTTTTTAAACCTTGAAACTAAATAGAAGGGTAACATTTAGAAAGGGATTTCCTATTCATAAAACCAAGATTACTTTTTCTTACAATGGGTTGCTTCTACAAAGTCCTTGTAAATACTGACTGGGCGCATTCAGGTTTATTCAAGTATCATTCCAAGAGTCATCAACGCACTTGGGTATATTCAGTCATCACTGGGGGATCTCTTCAGGATGGCTTCTGCTCCCCCTTCAAAAACGTTAACTAGGAATAAAGTCTATGATCTTTATGCATTGTCACCTTCTCTTTAAAAAGTCAGTCCCCAATGTATACTATACATTGTCTGGAAAATAAAATATTCATCAAGATGTGTGAGTTTTTCTTAGGGGAAAAACATCCTGTTTTTCATTGTTAAGTATTATTATAGTGATCAGGTTTTGTCAATGAGCTCTGAAATTGAGGAGAATCTTCCTCTCAAGTTTGCTGAGAGCTTGTGTCATGACGGGTGTTGAATTTTGTGAGTTTTTTTTTCTCCCACACACCAATTGGTATCATCTTGCAAATTTCCTTCTTTTAACCTCTTGGTATGGTGGATTCCAAAGACTGATTTTCCCTTTTTGAAACACCTTGCATGTCTGGAATAAATCCAATTAGTCATGGTGTTATAAACTTTACACATTGTCAGATTGTATTCGCTAACACTTTGTTGAGGATTTTGCACCTAAGGTCATGAGAGATATTGGTATATAGTGTTTTTTTCTTTTGTACAATATTTATCTTGTTTTGCTATTTAGATAATAATAGCCTCATAAAATGATTTGGGAAGTGGTCGGTCCTTTTCTGTTTCCTGGAAGAGATTACATAAGCTTGATATTTGCTAACCCTTCCCAGTGGATCTGGGAGGTCTCATCCACTCAAACACTTAGGGTTTCCTGCTCCTTCTTCATACTGAGGTAATTGTTTTGATTCTGCTTCCATTTGCTCTGAACTTTTGATTTTCCCCACGATGGCAAATTGGGACTCAAAGCTTCTAATAATGTGGAACAAAGGCTTGAGTAAGAGACTCCAGGGGTCTCTAAGATGCTTCAGAATAGAAGCGGAATCAGGAGGTACTATTGCTGATCTGGAGAAACTTCTGGCCATGTTCCACAAATGCAGTAACTTTTAAAAAAAATTCCAGCAATGATTTCCGGGTTGTTGCACCGTAGAGTATTCTCTTGCTTTATGATTTCATATTGGTGAAGTGGTAATAAATTTCCAGAGGTTAGAAGGCAGGAGTTTTGAAGAGATGGGTACTCAGCCCTGTGACCCCTGGGTGTGAGTCCATTATTGGAACAAAGGAATGGAACACTAGCCAGATTTTGTAAGCTGGGGGCAATCTCAGTTTGATGTTCTAAATTCTAACTGTTCCAGGATGGACAATAGAAAAACCTTCTAAAGAAAGAGTCTATGGGAAAAGATCAGGAGAGCAAATTAAACAGGTAGAGGGGGAGTCCCTACCATACCTATACTTTACTAGTCTGTTTTGTTTGTGACTATAACAAATTCCCCTGGGCAGACAAACTTTAAGAAGAGAAATTTATGTAGCTCATAGTTCAGGAGATTGAAAGTCCAAATAGCACAGCACAGGTTCTTGCAAACAGTCCCCTGCCCTCTTGACTGAACGTCCTCATGACAGGTAGCAACAGCAGTAGTGCACAGAGGAGGAAGACAACCCACTGCTAAACAGGAAGCCAGAAAGAGGAAGGATGGGGCCAGCCTGGGGGAATTTCTAATAACTCTCCCACCACAGCCAATGAAGGTCCCATGAGAAACACCTTAACCCCTTTCAAGGGCAGTCTAGGAATCTAATGACTTCTCTGTAGGCTCTACCTTTTAAAGATCTACACATCCCCCATCACCACCCTACTAAGAACTGAGATTCCAGCACATGAACCTTGAGGTATGAATGACATCCACACCATAGCAAGACTCCACTGACCTCTGAGTTCCAGCAGCAGGGGCAGCAGGAGGGAAAGCAGAGGTGGGCGGGCTGGGGAGGCAGGAATGGGTATCATGGTGGTCTGCAGAGCCTGCTCTATCTGAATGCCTTTCCTGGAGAGGCCCTGGACTTGGCTTGGTGAGGGTAGACTATAGTGCCAGCCTCCATGATGTCAGAGGAAGGGGATTGTGATGAGGGGAAAGGCCATAGGGGAGAGACAGTTTTTCCTTTGAAATTATAAGGTGGGACAGACACATTTGCTGTAAGTTGAGAAGTCATTGCTAGCAAAGTCCAGGATTGTCCTAGGTGACAGTCCTCAGACCTGTGAGAATATACTGTTCCAGAACCTCATTCCACCTCAGCAGGCTTCTCCAGACCCAGAGCCCTTGCTTCAGCAGGAGCCCTGAAGAACTGGTCTGCACCAGGAGCACAAAGCTCTGTGAAGGGCAGGGTGGATCCTACTCATACAGGAGCCCTACAACTGGAGCTTGCTGAGCTGCCCACTGCTAGTCGAGGTGGACTTTACAATGAACCCTTTCCTTGGACTCCAGAAGTGTCAAAGACCAAAACTGAATTCTGATGGAATGTCTTTTGAGGGCTCTGGGTTTTGCTGGGATCCCTCCATACAATACCGGAAGTGACTTTCTTCCCTGCTTCCTGCAGAGGAATCAGGGGCCACTGAAAGAGCAACCCGAGTTTTGGAGATGGCCATTGCTTGTACTGTAGAGGACAGGAGGGAAGGTAGGGCTTTGGGAACCCTCTCCAAGAGGAAAAGCAACATACCTAGCAACATACCTTGGAGAGTGAGGGTTGCCTGTACTGTCTGAACTGTGTTTGGAGTCAGCTTTTGGAGAAGGAATACAGAAATAGAAAAAAAAAGCCCAGAACCAACAGAACCAGAGCCAGGTGCAGCAGGCTCCTGCCTGTAATCTTAGCTACTCAGGAGCCTGGGAGCTAGGAACCATGGTTGAAAGCCAACTGAAACAGACAAATCTGAGACTCTTTTAACAACCAGCAAACAAGCTAGAAGTGGAGGTATGGATCAAATGGTTAAGCACCAGCCCTGAACAAAAGAAGCCAAGTGAGAGATGAGGCTTTAAGTTCAAACTCCAATTCTGGCATAAAAATAAAGACGAGAATACCAACAAAACCAGAACCAGCATGCAACATTCTTCCTTGCTTCAACCCTGCAATGGGCTCTACCCAATCACCAAGCTTATTTCTATGGACTCATACTTAGCTGCTAACCCTTCAACATTCAAGCATTCCTACCAACCACTTTCCCTACCCATGCCCTCTTTGGGACCAATGTCTCCTGCCTCGGGTTCCACTAGGTTTCAGGATCAGCAGAACACGGGAAGAAATGAAGGCAGAGGGTACACATGTTCTGTGAAATTATGTGTGGAGATAACTCTCCTTTCTCTCTATGATGTCACCATCTCATCCCATTGTTCTGGAGAGCTACATTCTATGCAGAGATGCCCAGCCATTATCCCATTCTTCTTTCATATGCCTCTGAGCTCTCTGGAGAGTGAGTAATAATCGATTAATGCACAAGAGCATCTGTTTTGGGATCAGACACAATCTGGGTTAAAATCCTGTGTCCATGCCTGGCACTGGGCTCAACACCTGTAAACCTAACTACTCAGGAGGCTGAGATCTGAGAATCTTGGCTCAAAAGTCTGTGAGAGTTTTATCTCCAGTTAACCACCAGAAAGCTGGAAGTGGAGCTGTGGCTTAAGTAGTTAAAGTGCTAGATTTAAGTGAAAAAAGCTAAGGGACAGTGCCTAGGCATTGAGTTCAAGCCCCAGAACTAACACATACAAAAAAGCAAAATTTTGAATCCACCTGCTAGTATCTGATTCATTTGGGTTAATGATGTGGACATATACTCTTTAGCCTTCTTGACATCTTTATTTGTACATTAGCTATGCAAATATGAATTTAGCATCTGCTCTTATATGGACATGACTCCCCTCCCACCTAATTCAGGTTAAGGATGTGTTCTTGTCATCCCCTAGGTTGGTTAAACTCAGAAAAGATCACACTCATCCATTCATGTCTACCTGCTACCCAGCCATATTAAATTTACCTCCTCAGTTTCTCCACCACAGACCCAACGGCACCTTATCTTACATGAGCCTTTCCCTGAGGAATACTAATGCCTCCGTGACTGACTGGGGGTGTGGTGATGGTCGCCCAGAAGTGATGGGTGGGACCTCCTGAGGTATTCAGGCTGGGCTCATTCCTCATATGTTAAGGCTGTGTTCTGAGTCAGTCCTCAGAGCTGGTATCACAGCTTCAGCTCAGGAGCAGAAAAGCAGCCCAACTGCTGGGGGTGGGGATAAGTCCCCAAGTAGAAAGGAAATAGAAGTCTGGGGACTGGCGTTGTCCTGGGAGAAGAGGTGCTGGAGCAGAGTCCGTGAAAAGTTTCTGTCTGCTTTTTACCCCAGGCTGTATGTCTCCAAGTGTGAAGGTTGCAGTGACTGAGAGTCCCAGGTGGCAGGGTTGGAGGAAGGAGAGCGCTGTGGAGGAGATGTCACATTGAGTCCTCACCTTGTTCATGAATTGTCTCCTGAGTGCTCTGATGTTCCTGGTGCTGCTCACTCCTGGGCAGCTGTCCAGAGAGGACAGGAGCCCCTGGGACAGCACTGTTCCCTTCCCTCAGCTCCCTGCTTGCATGCCCACTCTTTGTCCATTGTGTTGGTTCGAATGGTTTTCTCTTGTGCATTCAGCCAGAGTAGGGCCATCCCTCAATCTACACACCTGAAACCTTTAATATTGCTCAAGTTGCATTTTCCTTGTCCCATCATTGAGGGAATCTAACGATGGCCTCCAAGGGGACCATCGAGTGCTTTGTCCCTCTTCCCACTCTTTGTTCTACTTCCTCCATGCAGCCCCTCAGACCCTGTGGACACCCTTTCCAAACCCTTGACCTCACCCCTCCTGCAGCACTCACACTCACTCTGGAACTGGGCACCTCTCACAAGGCTCTATGAGACTTCTGAGGTGGGGAGGGGCCTCTGTCCCCTCTAGACTCCAATGACTCTGGCACTGTGTGACAGTGAACTGGTTGTCTGCTGACCCTTCCTTGGCCTGCCCTCCCTCCCTTTCAACTTACCATTTATTTCCTGTGGATGTAGATGGCAGAGACTCCAACTGCCAACACCACCTTGGAGCTGAGGTACAGAAGTATGAGGAGTCCCGCAAGATTAAAACACATAGTATCTGAAAAATCAAGACACAAGAGGAGCCATTAGAGAGTCCCCTGAGTCCATTCCTCCCCAGAGCCAGAACTTGCCCCATCTGCAGTGGCTGATCCTAGAGAAATCACAGGGCTCAGAGTGTGTGTGGTGTGGAATTCTTAATGCAGAAAGTTCACACTGGAGAGGAGACAGACAAAAATTCATGAAACAGTACAACTCACCACAATTCCTCTAGTATAAAAATTATTAATGGGAATGGCTCTACTAATGTCCGAGAAATGCAATGTAAAAGGTGGAAGGGTTGATTTTGCTCTTCATTTCAGAGGTTTGAAGTCATGTTTCTGGGCTCTGTTGATGTGGACACCTGGGTAGAAAGAGCATCCTGGACTTGTGGGGCCACTTGACAGAAGCAACTCAGGTTGTGTCATGGTGTTGATTAAGGGAGATGGGGATGGAAGGAGGAAGAAAGGGACAGGGAGAGGGATAGAAAAAGGGAGAAGGAAAGTGAAAGGAAGAAGGAGAAAGGACAAGGAGACAAAGAGAGGAAAAGAAGAGGAAGGAGCTAAGGACAAGATGGAGCCCCTGAATCTATTACCCAGTGACTTATTTCTTCTAGCTTGGTCCCATTTCCTAAAGTGTCCAGAACCTTCTCAAATGACCTGTAGCCAGGGAGCATGCATTTGACATATAGGGAGCACTCTGTGAGCTGAACCTTTAAGGGAAGCTGAATTAGTCATTTTAATCCTGGAAAGATTTATAAAGCTCAAATGTTTTCACAGGAAGCTGTGACCAAGCATTTAGAGATGAATTCGTCTCATTGCCAGTGGCTCACCTGTAATCTTAGTTACTCAGGAGGCTGAGATCTGAAGCCAGCCCAGGCAGGAAAATTTGTGAGATTCTTACTTGCAGTAAACCACAAAAAGGCCTGAACTGCAGCTGTGGCTCCTGGTAGAATGGTAGAGTGCTAGCCTTGAGCACAAAAGCTCGGGGATAGCATCCAGGCTCTGAATTCAAGCCCCAGGATGGGTGTGCCATGCAGGGACACGTGCGTGCACACATGCATGCACATGTGCATGCTCACACGTGTGTGTGTGTGCACACACACATGGATGAATTGAAAGAAAATTTATTGGCACACAAATTAGAAAATAAAAGTAATTTTTGAAAAATAGTACTCTATTTATTTCATTTACTCTCCATACTGGGGCTTGCATTCATGGTGTGGGCACTGTCCCTTAGAGTTTTTGCTCAAGGCTAGCACTCTACTAATTGAGTCATAGCTTCATTTCTAGGTTTTTGCTGATGAATTGAAAACAAGCATCTCACAGACATTTCATCCCAGGATGATTGCAAACCACAATTCTTATATCACAGCCTCCTGAGTATCTAGGATTTCAACTGTGAGCCATCAGCACCTGGTACTCCCTTTCAGATGTGGAAGAATTACTGTAAATTTTATTAACCATGATAGTGATTTTGGTTTTATAGGACAATGTCTTTAATCACTTGACAACCCAGTTGTGGACTCTGCACTGGATGTCCAACTAGGACTGAACTTCTAGTAGATGTAATTACACAGTTTCTGCTCATCTCTCTAGCAATGAAATTGTCCTTGCCTTTTTTTTTCCTCTGTAGGGCCGAACTTAAGTCCTGGGAGCTGTGTCTGAGCATTTTGGCAAGACTTGTATTCTACCATTTTGAACCACAACTGCTCATCCAGCTTTTGAGTGGTTAATTGGAGATAAGGGCTTCATAGGGACTTTTCTTCCCAGGATGGCTTCCAACCATGATCCTCAGATCTCAGCCCCCTGAGTATCTAGGCTAACAGGCATGATCCACCAGCACCCAGTTTTCCTCTGCTTCTTATCTTTACTTTTCCCACAGCCAAACCACTGACTTAGTACTGACCCTGCAGATTAGTGCTGGGAGGACCCTAGACCCTTCTAAAAGAGGAAAAGTGCTCCTGCATTCCATGGCAGGGAGCTAACACAGAGTGGTTCTAGGAAGGACTGTAGCCAGCCACTGGGGCAGTGAGCACTGGAGGGGAGCATTTCATTAGCTTTACAGGTTGGTGATGGCCAGTCATCAGGAAACTCAGATGTCCCTTGATAACCTTGTGTGACCCCTGTTCTAAGGGCAAGGGGTCATCAACAGCACCCCACCTGGTCCCCAGTCCTGGTTTCTTTGTCTGTAAAACGTCTAACTCACAAGGAGTTTGAAGCTGGTAGCAGATCAAAGAGAAACTTCTCTTTCCCTGTCCTGGATGTGTAGTGAGGGCCAGGGTGGCTTTGGGTCCATTGTCCACAAATCAGGAGACACTGAGGCCCTGTTGTATGACCAATCCTGGTCACCTTGAAGCCCAGTTCCTCTTTCAACCCCAGGGTCCCAGGGACACCTTTTCAATTTAAATCAGCAGGTGCCAGCATCTTCTGGGTGAGGATCCAGCTGTGTGAGGACAAGTCTAAGATGGAAAGGAGACTGGATGGAGGTTAAAAGATTAAAGAATAAGGAGAGAGCCCTGAGGAAGGAGAACAGAACAACTGTGGGTGATGAAGGCAGGGGGCCAGATGCCTGGGTAGGACTGTCCCTTTCCTTCTCTCACCTTCAATATCTGTTTATGTCTAAAGACCCATGGAGCTGTGCACCAAACTCGCACCAGCACCTCTTGGGGTACGAACTGACCTTACAACTCTATTTTCTAAACTTCTAGGTTTGTCTATAATCAGCACTATATAGTACTTTGGATATTTAATCCTGTTAAAGGAAATAACATCTAGTGAAACATTCCAGGAGCTGGCCATCTGCTGTGGAGGGCTCACCTGGGGTTGTTTCTGCGCCCTGCTCCTTTTGCTGGGCAGAGGCCTCCAGGATGAGGTTGGCAGTGATGGCAGGCTGGTCCTCATGCTCCACCTGGCAGGTGAGTACCACGTTCTTCCTGTGTGCAGAGACGTTCACCAGCAGCCAGCTCACCTGGTTGTAGGTCCCATCCTTGTTCTCGGTGTGGGCACAGCCGGTTTTGGTCAGCGACATGTTTCCATTCTCCATCCAGGTCAGCTGCAGGCTTGAGGGGTAGAAGTTGGACGCCATGCAGGTAACTTTCACCTGGTTCCCTGCCATTGTGGGCTGCTGGCTGACCGTCAAAGTGGCTGGTACTGAAATAGCACGGGCACAGACTCTGATCTTTTGGCTCAGAGACCCCAGAGGAGGGGCTGGAGTGCTGAACCCCAGTATCAGGGAACAGGTATGAGGGGCTGGGCATGCACGCGGGCCCAGTACATGTAGTTGCTGTTGGTAAAGGAAGTGCAGTCTCCAGCACAGTGCTGGGCACAGGTGCTCGACAGCAGGAATGCTGAGCACCGGGCAACAGACTTGGTGGGCAGGCAGGGGCTTGGGTTGGGACCTGGGGTCATCTACCTTGGATGGCGTTAGACAAGTCGGCAGTTCCACGGAGAGGGCTCCCGGACAAGGTGACATGGGCCACCTCACAGATGACCTGAGAGTGGACGTCCCCGGGGGTCAGCACCACCTTGGCTGTGCTGGAGATGTTGTAAGAGACACTCTCTCCCTTGGGGTCCAGGCTGGTCTGGGAGTCAGGGAGCTGGTTCCCATTTTTGAACCACTTCAGGGTGATGTTCCGAGGGGAGAAGCCGTGGGACTTGCAGGTGAAGCTCACTGTCTGTCCAGGTGTGGCCCTGGCTGCAGGGCCGGAAACCACGGGAAGAGAAGGTCTGGCTACAAAGGAGCATTTACAGAGATGTGATTGCAGAGCCTGCCCGGTGTGCAGAAGAGATGCTTTGAGTAACCTTCCCACACACAGCTGCTATTAGTACTACTATGCACTATTGTCATTATGACTACTACTGTTCTGAACACCGAATCCAGGGCCTCATGCCTGCTAAACACAGGATCTACCCCAGACACCGATGATAAGATCGTGTTTATTAAACCTCCCAATAAAGCTGGAAAAGAAACACACTTTATTTTTTATTTCAGAAGAAGATGCAAAGTCTCTAAGAGGTGAGGAAGTAAAAATAGTGTGTCCAGGTGGACTCCAGGCCATCAAGACCCCAGCAGCCCACCAGAAACTGGAGGGTGGGAGGCTGTCATTAGCTTCCTTCTGTCAAATGTTTGTGGGTCCTGATGCTAGCCCAATTGCTTTAGGCCCCTCAGTTCTTCAGTTCTCCCATCCTGCTCCTGTTGCAGGGAGGTTACAAGTGTTTGATTCTTGATGGAATAAGGATGGGTGCTCTGTCTGGCCTAGGGCACCTAGGCTCATCTCATCCCATATAGCCTGATCAATTATATACACATTCCTTTGTCCCCTCTCCCTCCCTCCCTTCCTTCCTCCCTACCTCCCTCCTTCCTCTCTCTCTCTGTGTCTCTGTCTCTCTGTCTCTCTCTCATATATATACACTACACAGATACATACAGACACCTCTACACACCTTGTGTAGTCATGTGCATATAGCATAGTAGGAGATCAAACACAGGCCCATGTGGATGTGGACACATGTTATAGCACTGGCCCACCTCTCCATACACCTGTTCTCCATCTCAGCCTAAGTGTCTCCTTCTATAAAAAGTGCATACACAGAGATCTTCCTTATGACCCAGCCATACCACTACTGGGCATCAACCCAGAACATCACAAGCCAGGATACTATAAAGACACTTTCACATCCATGATCCTTGCTGTATTATTCACAACATCCTAGCTATGGAAACAGCTCAGATGCCCTACAATAGATGAGTGGACTAAAAAAAATGTGGTATGTATTCACAATGAAATTTTATACAGCCATTAGAAAGAATAATACGTTGCCATTTGCAGGAAAATGGATGGACTTAGAATAGATCATGTTAAGTGAGTCAAGCTAAGCTCAAACAAACCGGCATGTTTTCTTTCATATGCAGAAACTAGATTTAAACATACTGGAACATGATAAAGTATACAGTGTGACCAAAAGGAGATATTCTTAGGAGAGGAACACAAAGGCACAATGCTTATGTGTATCTAAGCATATAAAATCATATTTATCTAAATGAACTTCAGGTCATGGAAAAAAGAGGTGTTTTTCTTCATTGCTGTTTTTGTTTTGTTTACTTTTTGATTTGTTCTTTCATTTATCTATCTTTGGGAGGGTAAGAGGGGCACAGAAATGGAAGGACAAAGGGTGAACAAATGCAACAGTAATACTCACTACACACTTTGTTGAAAATGAATTTTTCAATTTGTGGGTGGGGATGGAGGGGAAAACGGTGAAAAAGTTGATGTCCAGAAAGAAATGTACTCTTTACCTGACTTATGTAACTGTAACCCCTCTGTATATTACCTCCATAATAACAATAAAAAACTAAACAACAGAAAATGGATACAATACCTGCTTGTCCCTTTCTCCCCTTCCTCCCCACCCCCCAGAAGTGAATGAAGGCCAGTCAGGGCACAGCATCTGGTGTACAGTAAGCGCAACTTGAATGATACCATGTTGACATAGACATATTCATTTACAACAAAGCAACTTCCTAAAAACGCGGAGCTCAGAGCCTTTCCCCAGAGCAGCTGTGAACAGAGATCTGGGAGCGCTGTGTGCGGGTGGTGGGGTGGAGGGTGGGTGCCTAAGTCCTCAGTTACACAGAGCTGTGTTTGGCATGTGGTTTTCTGAGTCAGGCACAGGGAAAGGGTCTCACACCACTTTGCCTGTGGACTTTTCTCCTTTGACCTGAGGGTGAACATGAGAACCTCAGAGATTCTCAACCCTGGCTCTGTTTTAGAATCTCCTGCTATAATTGGGAACTTCACACCCACAGCAGATCAAGTACAGCTGGATTTCTAGGGTGCCGCCTGGGTTCCCAGGTGGTTCCAGTGACAAGTCAGGTGGGGAGCTACCAATCCCACCAATCCCATTGACACCTGGGGCTCAGAGAGGGAAAGTGACCTGTGCAAGGTCACATGGCCTCTGCCCATCACAGCTCATTTAGATGGGACATTTCCTATAAGCCAGGTGCTGCTCTAAGTGCCCCCGGACTTCCATCCTGCTGTGCTGCCATGCTCTAGGAGGGATCATCAGGGCCAGCTGGGGACACGGAGGCCACTGTGGGCAGGTCACAGGCTGGCAAGTGGCTGGACTGGGATGTGGGACCAGCCACGAGGCTCCATCTCTAGTCCTCTTGACCATTATGTTACTGACAGCAGCAATGACCCTGACACTCTTGGTGTGTGTCCCTCCACTCTCTCAGAATGCAGATAGTCCAGGGCAATGACATCTATCACCTTACAGATGAAGGAGGTAGAGACTGACAACTCAAGGGAATCTAAGTCACATCAAAAACCATAAACTTGGGGATTGCTTGGGTGAATCTGACAGTTCTGAGTGCTGAGCATCCTGGGGTCAGGAGGTAGAAAGAAGACCCTGAAACTGACAGAAAACCCAAGGGGAGCATCTCTGCTGCCTCACCCGAATCCCCTCTGTCACCCACAGGAGAACTGGGCCTGGGTAGATGACAGAGTTTTACTCAGAGCTTCAGCACCTGTGAGAGCAAGTACCTAAGGCAGGGTACACACTAGAGCCAGAGCAGAGGTCGGATCTCACAGCCCTCCCACCAGGGCAGACACTCATCAGGGAACCTGAACTCTCAGGACTCTCCCCAGTGCTGCTTCTGGAGAAGACATCAGGAATTCACACCCTGATCTTCCCTCTCCCCCCCCTGCCCCCTTCTTCCCCCCCCCCCCCCCCCCGCTGATGCTCACTTGAGGGGAGGGATGGGAAGGGAGGGAGGAGGTACAGCTTGGAGGGAGCAGAGACTCAGCCTGGGCCCCTCCCTGCTTCCCCATGGCTTTCAGAGCAGAGCCTGACACACAGTAAGTCCTCAGGTCTGTGGCACGAAGAGAGACCTCTGGCACCAAGGAGAAGTGCTCACTGGAGGCCGCAGGCCTCTAACCTGTGAAGGGAAAGCCCCTCACACTGTCTGAGCTTTCTTCTTTGGAACCAAGGGGCTTGGGCTTGGCCCAGGATGACCAGGGGACAGATGTCCCCAGTGGCCAGCTTGGGAACATTGCAGCAGGTTCTGTGAAGACTTGGGCTTCCCAGGCACATGGAGGAGGGACCAGAGGATGAACTCAAGTACCTAGCCCCACCTATGCTTCTAGGCAGTTGCTCATAGAACTGAAGGCGTTATTGTCTGCACGTATTGTCACACTCCAGAGGACAAAGGCAGCCACACTGTACTCACCACTCACAGACAGCTTGGTGCCTGGTCCAGACTTAGACTCCTTGTCCCTCTCAGTGGCCATCCTCTGGAACTTCACACAGTAGTAGGTGCCCGCGTCTGCTGGGGTGACGTTCCTGAGGTGGATGGAAAAGTCCATGCTGTATCTCCACATGACACCTGTAACTGGTGTGACACGTGGAGTGTGGGGTTCTTTGAGATTGAAGATCGGCTCCTGGCTTGGTCCTTTCCCCCTGAACCACTGGACGGGCCCCACAGGGAGCAGGGAGGTCACAGTGCAGCGCAGCATGGCCGTCTCTCCAGCGGCGACAGACACAGCCCTGTATGGCTGTATCACCTGCAGCTCCCCATCTGTGGTGGCTCCTAGAGGAAACACGGCAGTTATTCATCCTGACAGGACCCTGTGAGGTTCTTCAAAGTTTCATCAACCCTGACTCTCACTGACCAAGTGTACGACATGAATTCATCACACTGCCTGTGTGGTCAGGGTGAACCCTCATGTGAGATTGTAATACAAAGCAGAAACTGAGGCACAGAGAGGGAAATATATATCCAGTCCCTGAGTCCTCTGCAGGACTCATAGTTTCTGTCCACATGGTGTGTTGTACTTCCTGGTCCATGATAGTGGGTAGGTCATATGACTCCTGGGGGGCCATGAAGAAATGAGCATGGGCTGCAGCACAGAGAATGAGCCTGAAAGCAAGAGACTCCAGGTCACCTTCGCCCTCCCCAGAGCACCGCAGGTGCCAGGATGGCTTTTCCCATCTGTCTGGAGTGACAGTGATGCTCAGTACAAAATTACACCAAATGTGGTAAAACACAACCCCACAGACCCAAGATGTAGAAGTCACTCCATATAGTTTAATTCAGTCATCTGGGAAAAGTAAATGTCTACAAGCAAGAAGATGAATGGAGCTTTACGCTGTACTAAATGTAGCAATTGCTCAGAATGAATCCAAGACCTAAATGTAACCCATAAGACTAAAAAAGCTCCTAACTCTGAGACAAGAAAACAGGGGCTGGGAAGTTGGCTCAGTGGTAGAGAGCTTGCCTTGCATGCTTGAGGCCCTGGGTTTGATTCCTCAGCACATAAGAAAAAAGAAAAAAGCCGAAGTGGTGCTGTGCCTCAAGTGGTAAAGCGCTAACTTTGAGCTGAAGAGCTGAGGGACAGCACTCAGGCCCAGAGTTCAGGCCCCACGACCAGACCCCCCCAAAATAAAAAGAAAACATAAGTAAACTCTTTATGACATCAGATTCAGCAATTGTTTCTTAAGCATAACAACAATGCTATGAACATCAATAGAATAAATTCATATGTTTAGCTTACCACCAGAAGAGAGAACTAAAAAGGAGAAAATATTTGCAACATATGTTTGCCAACAAGAACTGTTATCAAGAATACATAAAGAAGACGTACAACTTAATGACAAAATAACCCACAATTTTTTGGTGGGTTATAGGGTTTGAATTCAGGACCTAGGCGCTATCCCTGAGTCTCTTTGTGCCCAAGGCTAGTGCTCTACCACTTGAGCCACAGCAGCACTCTGTTTTGGGGGGATCAATTGGAGATAAGTGTCTTTTCTGCCCAGGCTGGTTTTGCACCATGATCCTCAGATCTCAGTTTCCTGAGGTGTGAGCCACCAGCACCCAGCTTCACAATTCACTTTTGAAAAACAAAGCACAGGAGCACATATTTCTCTACAGCGCAATCAATGAACACATGCAAAGATGCCAGACAAATCAACTCACTGGGACAGGTCACAACAAGACCGCAAGAAGATGCCTTTCCCATCTCTTAGCCTGGCTATTAACCAAGACAAAAGCAAAATGAAACATTAGAAAAAAAACAACCAATAGAAAATAATAAGCAATGAGCTGTGGAGCACACTGAGGGTATGGAGCAATTAGAATCTTTATCCCTTCCTGATGGGAAAGTAAAGAAAGCAGTGTGGCTGCTGTGGGAAACAGTGGCAGTGCTGAGAAACTCTAAACATAGAATTAACTAGTGATGCAATAATTCTACTCTTAGGCATGTACTCTACAAGTTCAAAGTAGGGATATGAAATAATCTTGATGGATGCATTGTATTCACAATTGCCAAAAGGTAGAAACAGCTCAAAGATTCCTCTACAGGTGAATGGATGGACATTGATAATGGAATATTACTCAGGACTAACAAGCAAAATACTTGTAATACATCTTTTACAGATGAACCCTCAAAATATCAGATACCAGATACAGAAGGACAGTCTGGTTATCTGAAGCATCTCCCACAGACAAATTCACAGAGACTGAATGGACAGAGGCTAGCAGGCCTGAGGGGAAGTTGGAACATACGTGTACAGAGCTCAGATAATTTTTCAGAAAAAGATAACGTTGATGGTTAAGCAACATAGCAAATATAGTAAGCACTGTTGAACAGAAACTCTAAAATGGCACATGTTGTATGCTGTGCATTTCAAAGTGATTTTTATGTCAGCACACACTAATTTACAAAAGGGGCTTCACCATTACTTCTCCTTACACTCATATAACACTCCCAACCAAACCTTGGAGTCTTTTCCACCCCATGAGTATTCCTCTTCAACATGTACCCAAATGATCTGAGCTTCATCTCCTTTCTCTACTTTCTGTTGTCCTTTGCAAAACCATGTATGTGGACACATGCCATGGCCGCCTCCTCCTCCTTCTGCATGCTCTGGTGGCTTCTGTCTGTCCTGTGATAGTCTGTGATCAACCAAATACTAGAAAAATCATTTAAAAACCCATCTCAAGCTAAGCAGTGGTGGGTCATGCCTGTAATGCTAGCAATTTAGGATACTGAGATCTGAAGATCACAATAAAAGCCAACCCACACCAGAAAGTCTGTGAGACTCTTACCTCCACTTAACCAACCAAAACTCCAGAATTGAGGGTAAAGCCTTGAGCACAAAAGCTCAGGGACAATGCCCAAACCCTGAGTTCAAGACTAGAACCAGCAAAATAAACGAAACAAAACCAGATGCAGCACCTCATCTCAGGTTCCAGGCCATGTGAAGGCTCCAATCTCATGCAGTGTGAAAGCCAAACACTTCAGCATAGCTGAATGAGATCTACTCTCTGGACATTGCATGGCTGTGTCCCTGACAGGAAGCCCCTCCCCCAGCCAGCCACACCCTTCACCCAGCACCCACTCTAAACTTCATTCAGATTTCCCCCTCAGTGGTGACCATCCAAATACTTCTGGTTTTGTGCATTTCTCCTATAGATTCTCTGAGCCCTTTACCCAGCTGTGAATTTCTTCCCCAGTACTCTTCTCTTTTCAAGATAAACCATCACTTACCCTTAGTTTGTTGTGGTGGTGGTGGTGGGTACTGATTCCTGTCATTTTCCCTAGTAGAGTCTAGGACAATGACTCTGGCTCTTTAACTCACCAATGCATCCAAATTCCCGTAAGAGTTTCCAGCATGTAGTAGGTATCTATTAACCATGTGTGTGGTATATAAATTGCTCACTGTGATGCTTCTCTAGGCCACTGGATTCTACGTCCAGTAGATATTTTCTGTGGCAATGACCCAGTTACCAAGTAACTTTCCTATGCAAATAGTTTGGCCCAAACGAATGGTTATTTGAAGATAGGCCAGGTCAGCTTTATGGAGAAAGAAGGGGACAAAGGCAACAGCCGTTGGGGAGCTGTGAGCAGGATGGTCTCCTGGCCTTTGCTAAGACAGGCCTCCATCTTGCTGTCCTGAAAGAGGGAAAACAAATTTCCCATGAGAAAAGCAAGATGAGCAGGGCTGTCTGTGGGGACGTGTTACCTGCTGACCTGTGTGTCCTATATGTGAAAGCTGTGAATCTCCCTACCTCAATGAGACTGTATTTGGAGAGCAGGACTTTAAGAGATCATTGAGGTTAAATTGTAGGAGAGGGCCATCTATCAGGACTGATGTTGTTAGAAGAAGATACAAAGAAACACATGGAGGACAGACCATGTGTCAGAGACAGAAGATTCCAAGGGCAAGGCAAGAAGAGAAGCTGCCCCTGCCTATACATGGATCTGGGAACTCTAGCCAAGGAGCTGTGAGGAAATCCATAACTACTCCTTTTCTCACCCAGCCCAAGGTGCGATGTTATAGCCAGGCCTGACAATTAAACAAATGCACCAAGAAGCAGACAATGTGGGCTGTATTGAAGGGGAAGAGGCTGTGGAGGATTGTGAGACAGAAGGCCCTCACTGAAGAGCAATGGTGACTGAGCATCTGGGATGCCCAAAGCCTTGCCCACCTCAAAATGGTTCCATGAGAGTCTTCCTGTCCTTAGAAGATGAGCAAAAATTCTGGCCTTGGAGCTAGACCCACTCACTGGCTGCCTCCAGCCTTGGGCAGGTTGCTTTATCAAGAGACAAGAATGACAAGGATTTAAATAACAAATCTATTGGAAAAGCAGGTTATCAGCTGAAATATTATAGAGATGTGATTATTTTTGGAAGCACTCTCTGATTAGAAGTGTCTGGTCACCTGCTGTAGGTGAAGGCTCCACAGACAGTGCTCAGGTATCTGGCTCTCTAGACACTTGGTGCTTTGTCCAGTCTTCTGAGGCTGTCCCTGGGTTTATCTGGAAGTCCAGGGGCAAGGCTAGATTAGGAGCTGGAAGAATGAATTCTACCCAAGGGCCATGCTCACCTGTGAATCCAAGTAGGAGGATCAGTAGTAGGCCAGGAGGAGCAGACTGGGACCAGGAGTCAGGAATGAGCATCATGGAGACCTCAGCAGTCTGCTGTGTCCTGATGTCAGTGTTGGGGAGAATCCTGACTCTGCTGTGTGGAAAGACAAGAGATCCTGCCTCTCTCCATGAAAGAGGAACTAGTTTGTCATAGTCTGTCTCGATATTGGGAAATAGAAATCCACCAACACAGGAAGCTATACAAGGAGGAGTCACCCAGGGTACAGTTCAGAATGTTAATCATATCCACCTCATGGAAAGAATGCTTCTTTTTCACTGGAGCTTGAGCTCTTGAGGTCTTTGAGCTTTTGCTTAGTGTCAGATATAGCTGGCTTGTGGTTTGTCCTGCACCTGCTTCACCAAGGTGCCTCCGCTGGAGGCAGGAGTCACATTCCCAAGCCCAGCTCAGTGTTGGAGCAGCTCCCGACGTCACCCCATTGCAATCCCTGTGCTGAGATTACTGGTGCACATGTGGACCTTAGGGATCTGTGTCCCTGTATTCAAAAAAGGAAACATTTTCTGATTCATCCCAGGGGAGAACGTGGCTTTAGATGGATGAGTAGCTGCTTGGTGGGGTGAGCTGGGGGTTATGAGTTAATATGAGATGCTAGGATTATGTATATTGTGGGCAAGTCCTGGGGCAAGCACATCAGCTTGGGGACTCTGTGTTCTCTTTTCCTTTTGTTTCTTTTAAGTAGAAGACTAGGATTCAAACTAGGTATCTGATGCATTCTTTCATTGGCTAGTCCTCAGCCAACTGAGCCACACCTCCAACACATAGACTCTGTGTTATCTGTATAGAAAGAACCAAGGCCTTTTCCTGCTCTGCCAGATAGAGCTGGGGGAAAAGGAAGGATGAGTGACAGGGATGAGGACCTCCAAGAAACGGGGCAAGTCACCCCTGACTTTATGTTGTCATCTGAAACCTGGGGATAAGGAGTTGTTTCCCCCTCCCCCCACAGTGTTTTAGCAGATATTAAAGGGAACATGTATGGAATATTCTTGAAAAAAACAAATCAACCATGGATCATTATGATACTCTTGGAATCCGATGGAGAAAGGAAGGTAAAATACAGCTTTTCAAGGAGCTCCTATCTTAAAAACCTACCTTCTGAGATCAATTGCACCCTCTGGGATTCTCAGCACCCCTCTTCTTTATTGGTGTATGGAAGGGGCAGCTGCTTCACCTGAGGCCTTGGCTGCCTTCTGGTTTACACCTGGCCACATCATGTGACTGGCAGACATGCAGGTTAAGAGATGGATGTCTGAGGCATGCATGTG